CAGTTTTTTGACTTTACCATTCACATTAACAGGAGAGATAATGTTTTCAACTAAAAAGGGGAAATCAGCCTGTAAATCATGGAGGTGTTGGGGATATTCAACATCTACTTCAAGTACGTAACCGTATTCAGAAGAAGCATGTAAAGAGAGAACATTCAATTCATCAATTTCGGCTTGGGTTAGCCAACGGAAGTGGGAAATAGGAAGTGCTTGACTCATACTATGTCCATACAAATTAGTAGCATCCAAATACATAATGTAGGAGGTAGGTGCGGACGCGTTGTAATCAGGGAGGTGAGGGTTGTTAGCGAAGTGCATTCTTTGAACGCATTGACTTATTCCTCCACGTACCCCTTTTTGAAAAAAATTTAAGATATCGATATCAGCCAGAAGTTGTAAACTAACCCGAGTGAATTTTAACATACTATCCCACGCAAGCCCTGGCGCACTGTAATACTGAGCAGGATCTAAGTCGTAAGTGGTGAGACATATTTGTCGGAAATTCTCGAAAACATCAGCTAGCAAAATAACATCTGTTTTCAAGTAGATATCGGAGTATTCTCCTAGAGTTGAACATGAAAAAGTATTCCAAACAGTTTTAGCTCTTTTGTAATCGTCATCGGAAACGGGGAGGGAAGTCAATTTATCGAAGAAATCGTCTTTCTGCGGAAATATTGTTTCATCAAGCTTAGCAACATCATCAACGTAGGAATAAGGGAAAACACCTTTCCGTCGCACAAGTTGAAAGTGATTAGGATCGGAAAAGTATTTTTTTACTTGCAAACATTGATGAACATCAAGTTCGTCCGACAGCTTGTCGAGGGAGGAACCATGAAACGAAAGGAATCGAGAAATCTAATCTTCACGAACACATTTTGTGTTGAGTCGTTTGTTTCAGTTTGAATCGTATCAACTCGTAATAATTTGGAAAAGGATATGTATTTTTCTTTATTTTGAGCTATCACGGTAAATTTAACATCGTTCACAGAAATTTTCATTACAAACAAGTGGCAATCATATCCGGAGAGGTTGTGGAAAAGAACAGGTACAAAGTTGGGTAGTTTGTAATTTAAATTACATCTGGAGTGAGCAGCTCTTAATCGAACTTTACCGGTCAAATGACAATGATCATGCACCTTGACGTCATCGTCCAGAAAGGGTTCTTCGCAAATATTGCAAGAGGTAGCGTCGGCGAAGGGACGTATTTCTTCATCTGTCAGGGGTATCATGGGAGAAACGATCTTCAAATATCGATGATAAATATCATAAACATCTCTATCGAGAGTTGTAACGAATTGGGAAGGCTGGTGTAGACATAATTACATTCATGCTGCTGATGACGATGTAGGTGAGGTAAAGTGGAGAAGTATTGTAGGCAACCGTCGCATAAGAATTTGCGATGTCCAGTTTTAGAAAGTTGTTGAGAAACTAAACGGGGACATGTCCTTTATCCAACAGTGGTGAATGTTTACTAGATCATCATCGAGCAAGAGCAGATTGAAGTGTAGCCGTCGCTTGATGGGTGATTAGTATAGGGGGCCAACGATTTCCCATGTCCACTTTCCACCTTTCAAAACGGACTCAGTCCCGTAGACATTCACAGAGCTATGGTTCTTTGATTCAAATTTCGGTATGTCAGTTAATTTCATAGGAAATTTGATACCGTAGTAGTCCAAAGTGTGGGAGTAATGTGGATAGGAAGTAGTTCTTTGCGGGTTCGCTTGTGCGGGATACAGAGCTGACGTAATTGCCCATGCGAAGCAGGCCTGATCGTCGTTTCGCACATTCACAACCGCTTTCTTGAATAAAAATTGTTTCGGTAACGGAATGTAGGAAGACGCTCTCAGCGGATTGTACTTGTTAAAGTTAATTTCAAGGAAAAGAACCTTTCTAAAATCCATCCTGTAGAAATGGGGAAATGTTAAATGAAATGAAACGTATACTAAAAAGGATGAGTTACCTGATTCTCGTTTTTGAAACTCTGATGCTTTAGCCTCAAGTATTTCAAAGACGTTTTGTAGAAGACTCGGAAGACCGATCGATCGAGTTACAACTTTGTTGTTGGCGTTGAAGGATTTAATTTCAACCAACTGTTTGGTTTCGTGCACGTAACGTCCAAAAACTTCGAGATTTATTTTAAGCGTGTCGTGGAGGTGGATCTGATTACGTATAATACGCATTTGTCGAGAACGCAATACGAAACGAAGCAATTCTGTTAGCGAAAGAAGAGGAAAGGAAACCGATTCCCTCCTCAAGAGGTGAACAACAACTTTTTTTATGCTGTAGGGTGCGCAGGTGACCGTTGTACAAAGATTGAGGAACATATATTTTGCACGTTTCACACCAGCGGTCGGAAGAGGTGGCAGATGCAGCATATTTCGGTTTTTTATTCGGTAGCGGGGAATTAGGATGGTACTGTAATCGTTTACGACACGAAGCTTTTTGATGTCGTTTTAAATTGTCAGATCGCATAAAGGACGTATCGCAGTCCGGACAACGAATCATATCGGTTAGATATAACAGAGGTGTCTCGAGAAAGACTGAGGAAGATCGTGTGCGAAGTAGATTATAACAACGTATGAAAATGTGAGTGGGAGAAAATGAAGAAGGTAAGGGCTGTGAGGGGGGTGGGGTAGTTTGAAGATATTTAAGAGACATGTATAGAGGAAAAGATTAAGTGAAATGGCTGAATTGGGACAGTGTGATGCGGCAGATGCGTCAGTGATTAGCTTGGACGAATCGGAGCTGTCAGCGATGTTGGAGGAGTTCTTAAACAGCTATGCAGCTATGAGTTGGTGACGAAGACAGTCGGTGGAGGAAAATCATGTGTAGGAGATATAGCCACGGAAAGAATAGCAGTACCTGTGGCTAGTACATCGCGGACGCCGGCAGGGGGCGGTAAATCCGTAAGTATGAAGCCTAAGAAGCGGACATACAACAGAAGAGTGTCGGGCGGTCCGTTGGATTATTCAAAGCTGGTGGACCAGGTGCGAGAAGCAGTGAAGACACTTCAACGGGAGAAGCGAAAACGGGAAGGTGAAATAAAGGACCATGACATGAAGGACGCTTCAGTTTTGGAACAAATAAAGCGGAAAGAGAAAGAGTTGGAGGATCTGAAGAAAAGTCGTGAAAGCAGCTGTAGAATGGTGGTGGAAGGTAGAAAGCGAGTGGAAGAGGTGGAGCAGAAGTTAAATGAATTGCAAACACAATTGTTGAACATATTTAATTAATATTGTAAATATAGTAATATAAAATAAAAGATTGTATTATAAGATGATTTTATTTAATAATTTTCTCTTGAAGGAATGATGATGTGTAATTCAGTTATATATATGTGATTGAAGAAATATTTTTGTTTCCAATATTATTGTTCAATACTTTCAAGATGACTGTATTGTAGATGTATGGAAAAATAAGAAGAAGATGTAGTTGTTATAAAGTTTATTATATAAGTTACGCATATGGTTATAAAAGTTACTATGAATTATAAATGTTACATTAATTTAACTAACTTATTTTATTAAATAGTATATACATGTTTAATATGTGAAATTCCGTACAGGACATAGTGTATAGTACCGCTCCCATCTGCTTTCACATCACGGAGGTAGTCTTCTATGTCCTGACAGAACGAAACGGGTCTTTTTTGCTGGAAACGGTCCATGTTGTCACCATTTCATTTGAATTTGTCCTAGCATCACTTTGGAAAATAGTGAAGGGTGCCGTGGCAGTTTGTAGTTGTACCTTTGAAAATGATGCAGTAATACATGCTGATATTTTGAAGAGAGGAAGTCTTCTGCTGAAGGAATTTTTTTTTTGTTTTCCTGGAGGAGAGGAAATCTTCAAAAGACACCCGGCCGCCCGCGCGACCGAGTAGTGTCGGATTGATCCCGGAGGACGCCTACCGACTAAAACCTCTCCCCCTTAGACCGTTCTAGGGCCGCTAGGCCCTCTTCAGCCGTATGGTTTATTTTTTCTTTTGTTTAATACCTGATGAGTTGGGCGAGTGTGTGAGCACTGCCCAGTAGTTGAAGCTATAGAAGCTGAAGGAATGGAAGATGTGGGAATTTATATGATTTGGAGGAGTGGGGTATGAGTAGGGTCAGATGAATTGGAGGAGGAGGAAGAAGAGAGTGAGGGAAGCGAGGATCTGCAGAGTTCTTAATATGGAAGGAAAAATGTATTGTGTAGTCAGTAATGGTGTAGGCAGCATGTGATTCGTTTGCAGAACATCGTGGTTCGAGAACCGTTCATTAAGATTATTTAATGGTCAGTGCGCTACCTATATTGTATCGCACAGACTTCGGAGCGGACGTATGTGAGGACGAGTGGATACAGTCATGGCGATCTGGTTTGAATATTGAAAATAAATACCGACAGTTTTTGCCAGTCAACGGTGACAGATACGATAATAGCGAAAGACGTATAAAGAAGGGTTATGTGCAGCATAAATATACGATGGAAAATAATTGTTCATCGGAACATATTCTGAGACGTAGTGTGTGTGACAACATTAACGAATACACGTGTACCGAAGGGAAGGTGTTAAACTTACATGAAAATACAACGTTGGGTTGTGTAGCAGTTGGTACGAAGAAGACGGTGTAGGGGAGGAGGTTTGTAAATGTAAGGATTTAGTGTTCGTGTTCGTATTACATGTTCACGGTAGACATCACCATTGTTACGAATGCGGAAGACCACTGACAACAGGAGATATGTGTGATGCAAGTATACTGCAGCCAGGCTTCACGGGGTATGCATCGACAAACGTAAAATTACAGACTGTAGAATTATTGTTAGGTTGTGTGAGAAACGGTACGCATCGATGTGGTAGTAGGACATCTTTTCCAAATGATAGGAAAAAAGGAAGTTGTACGATGTAGAGTGAGTGAGGCAGAAGATAGTGGAAAGAGGGGAAATTATAGTGTTTAGTAAAGTGGTTGAAGCTAATAATGTAGTAAATGTGTATTTCATAAATATATTATAAATAATTAATAGTTGATAATATGTTATTAATTTACACCACACGTAAATTGGAAGGCAGTTTACAGAAAATTCATGCGCGTAGCTTCGTTGAGTGAACAACCATACTCGCGAACATTCGTGACAAAGATTTCTGACGCATGCGTATACGGAGTACGTGAGCACAACATTAGCTCATGGGGATTAGCATGATAGAGTAATCGACGCATGCGTAGTACGCGAAAACGCAGGTGTTAACTGTGCAGATGACGTCACGTCTGCAAACCACATTCCGATGGTGGTTGAGAGGCGGAAAACTTGTTTCGAAGGAGGGTGCGGGTTAAGAGGGGAGTAGTTGGTAAGCGGAGAGCGTTGTCTCATTCTGTTTTAGAACGTTGCGTGAAGTGGACGATAATATTTTAAAAAGAATGGTTGGTAAAGATGTAAGGAAGCCGGCAGTGCCGAAGTCCCGTTTCGGGAAGTTTAGGGCGGGTGCTGTAAGTAGAATGAAATATTTAGTAAAATTATTTTGTATTAATTGTGTAATATTTTAAAACACTTATATTTCGTTTTGAAGTTTGAAATAGTTGGAGTCGTCACCACTATGGCGACGTTATCGGTTGCCTCAACCATAACGAGTATGGCAGCGGGTAGGAAGAAGCTGGGGATCCGGCGGAATAGTGTGGCGAAGACGTCTCCGACGTGGAGCGGTTCGGGGACGAGGCCCACCATAAGCACGGTGACCCCAGCAGAAACGCTGCCTCCACCGACGACGACGGCTCCAACATTGGCACAAGGGGACCAGTTGATGGGAAAAGGTACATGTGCCACAGATGTGACGATGCCTCCGTGGTGTATATCACCTGTATCACCTCTGCCCGACACCCCCATGACGCTTTCGCAGGAGATGGAGCGTTTAGAAGGCGTCATGGTAAGTGCTCATCATGTGCGAGAAAAGATGGAGGCACTGACGTCAGCTTGGGAGAGGAAGCGCGATGCTCGCGGTAACGTGAGCACAGAGCTTGCCCAAGTGCGAAAGTGCAGGACCATTTTAGAAGACGAGATTGCTCGTCTTCAAAGAGAAATCCTGCAGCTATCGGAGAAAGAGACGCAACTAGTGGAAGAAGAAGACAGGTTGCGTCTCGAAGAAGACGTCCTAGGGCATGAGGTGGAAACGAAGCGCCCGAGGTATGAGCGGCTCTGTGTGGGTGCGCAGAAGCTGGCGCAGCAGTTGCGCATGTACCCAAAGATCCGGCGAAAAAGTGTGTGTGAATGGTTAAGTGTAATTGTAGTAAGTATGTAGGTATTGTAATTAGTTTGTAGTAATAATTAGGGTGTAGTAATTAAAAATAAAAAATAAAAAAAACCAATAAGAAACAAAAAAAAAACAAAAAGGTAAACGGGGTCGGTAAAGGGGTGTTAGAAGTTGTAATACAGCAACTTGCGCAGAGGTAACATTAGCTGTAAATGATGAAATATGATGATACCTGATTTTTTACGATTTTATCTTTCCTAGGAGACGCTGTGTATAGGTATGCGAGAGAAATGGGGTTGAAAATGGGGTGAGAAGAAAATCCGCTGAAAAACATCATAGGGATATGGGTTACTGGGGGGAGGAGGGCGCCAGAGGTGGGTGGAGGGGTTGGTGTGATTCAGCTACTGCGATAGTGCCAACTTGTAGACCCAGTTGTCAATATTAACAGTGGCTCTCTCTTTTTCTAAAACCACTCTTTATAACTCTAATTAATTCTACAAGTTAAGGGTAGAAACTTAGTTCCTTAATAACAGCGGTTCACCACTTTCACTCGATAGAAAACGTTCTTCACTGAAAGGCGAACTTTTTTTATTGAAACACTTTTCCGCTATCGTCCACCCTTCATACACTTTCTGGGGCAAGAAGTATGGGGGTAAACCATGTAAAAAAAATATTTTCATACTTATTTACGTGGGATCATTTTAGATACCCTTAAACATACATTTCACAAGAGGAACACTTTTTTTTTTCCACTGCTTCTATTTTTTAAGTAACTTTGAAAGTGTTAAGATTTTGTCAACTTTATTTTTTTTTTTTAATTCTAATAACTTATGTTGGGTAGCATCTTTTAAGAACATAACTTATTGCAATATTATACGAGGGTGGATTGATAAGTTTCCGGCCTAACCAAGAGATGACGCCACTAGGCCTACCTTGAGGTGACATTCTATAGTACCATCCTTGGATAGCTTGTAGCTATAGTTTCAGCCCGATCTCCTTGCTAGTGTAGGTTTGACAGCACGCTGAACAAGACGCCTCTGTGGTTTTCGTAAAAATGGAAAAGCAGGAAAATCGTGCTGTCATCAAATACTTTTATTTGAAGGGGTTAACGCCGAAGGAAATTAAAAAAGAGATGGACTCAACACTGGGGACATCCTCCCCGTCATATTCAACCGTTAAGCAGTGGGTTTCCGAGTTTAAAAAGGGTCGTGTGAGCACCTCTGATGGGCCTCGCTCAGGACGCCCCGTTGAGGTCACAACTCCAGATATGATCGAAAAAATTCATCAAATAGTGCTGGGAGACCGCAGATTGAAAGTGCGTGAGATAGCTGAGACCTGTAAGATGTCATATGAACGTGTGCAACATATTTTGCACCAACATTTGCATATGGAAAAGCTCTGTGCAAGATGGGTGCCGCGTTTGCTAACAGTCGACCAAAAATTGATTCGAAAAAACATTTCTACCGCAAATTTGTCATTGTATAAGCGTAATCCAAGCGAATTTTTGCGTCGATTCGTAACCGTTGACGAAACGTGGGTCCACCACTACACTCCTGAAACCAAAGAACAGTCTAAACAGTGGATTGGACCAGGGGAACCAACTCCAAAGAAGGCAAAAACAATTTTTTCGGCGAACAAGGTTATGGCTACTGTTTTTTGGGATGCAAGAGGTATTATATACATTGATTACCTTGCAAAGGGTAATACTATCACTGGTCAATACTACGCAGACTTATTGCAACGTTTGAGCCACGAGGTGAAAATTAAACGACCTCATCTGGCGAAGAAAAAAATCTTGTTTCATCACGATAACGCACCAGCGCACACGTCAATCGTTGCGACGGCTAAAATCAACGATCTAAAGTTTGAATTGATGCCGCACCCTCCTTACTCTCCAGACCTAGCCCCGAGTGACTATTTTCTGTTCCCTAATCTCAAAAAATGGCTTGGCGGTAAGAGATTTGCGGACAATGAAGAAGTAATCGAAGCTGTAAATGGTTATTTTGAGGAGCTTGACGAATCAGTCTATAGAGATGGCATTAATAGACTGGAACACCGCTATGAGAAATGTATCAGCCTTGGAGGAGATTATGTTGAGAAATAAAAAAAAAAATTTTTTTAAACCTTGTTTTTCTTGGTCAGGCCGGAAACTTATCAATCCACCCTCGTATCTCCTTAAGCTTCAAAAAAATTAATAAATGGTCCGTTTTACACTATTCCCCCATCATTTATATTGAGGGATTTTATAAATATGTTTCTTCGGTTCTTATACTACATCTCATTACCTAACTTTTCATATACTACTCACTCGTCCAACTCATTAATTACACTAACCTATAATTTTTTGAAACACATCGACTTCCACCAAATTTACTATCATAACTTTTCTTCTGCGACACCTCTCCATTGAAATCATAAACGGGTAGTACATTATAACTAACAAATTTATTTTATCTTCTCTACGCTTCTTCCATTATTCCACTTTTTCACCAATAAACAATTATTACAGTTCTAACATTACATACAAACTTATGTCACCACTCCTACCTTCCTAATCCCCCACTATACTATACTCCTTCCCTAATAATACTTCATCATCCCCACTATTCCCGCCACCACCTTTCTTCCTGTATAAACCACTGAAACTTTCGTAGAGCATCACTTCATGAGAAGGGTCTTGCTGTATACAATGGATCTTTCTCGTGTATCCCTTGTCCTTTCACCATTCCGACAAACAACCAATTCAACTGTATCCATCACCCGGTTGCAATGCAACATTTGTCAACGTCTTCGTCAAATCTGTAACGTTGCAACAGGGTTCTGTTGTCAAGAATGTCTTGATAACACACCTCTACTTTTTTTGTCGCAGCTGTAGAATGTATCACGTCGATGTTGTGAACTCCTGCTGTCGACCTTGTCGTCAGGGTGTTCACTCATACCTCTGCGAAAAGTCGGGTCTTCTTTATGAGATCGATGATACCCATACACTTTCCTGCCTACTCTGCACTTCAGCAGAACAAAGGCGCCATCTCTTTCGCTCCATTATGATGACACCATCCTTGCACTAACTTTTTTTCCTAATTACCTTTCCCTTCCAAACTTTCCTTTTCCACACCGTTAACCTTGACACACTTATTAACATATAAACCGCTGTAACATGTTGGTTTTATTAAACCTACTTCCACATTACATCATCATTTATTTCAGAAAAAATTGTAGTATATACATGTTTACGCTCCATCAACATTTACGATATTATTACAAATTTCCCTCACATAACCTTCTTCAAATATACTATCCCTCCTTAAATGATGGTTATGGGTGCAAAAAAATTAGCAACTGCAAATCTCCCCGCACCATCCGCAATGAATGTGGTCTTCGTCATTGAGGTGAACTTCTAACATCCACAAATTCTGTACTCGCATATACAACGATATTATTCTACCATTGTTCGCTCCATACCGACAACTCCCACACATAGGTAGATAACGAAGATTATTCCTATCGCAGTACAAGACGTAAGCAGAACATGCCGTATCCAGTCCACTCTTTCATCCGACTCACGTCACTTACATACCTCATTGCTTTATTTTGACTGTACTGCTGTCTATCCACGTAATCTCCTCTATGTAACATGACATTACGATGTACTTCGTCCAAACCCTCCACATGTTCAAAAACATTCCAATATTGTACGTTTTCTACACCACCACACACTTCATGGATACAGTTGCCGCCACTTCACATTTCTACCTTTTATGTGCAACACTCCTTTGGTTGTCTTTCATTTATACCCCTCCTACTCAACTACATCTCTTTCCTCCTCCTAAACGTATCCCTAATTCTTTCCCTCCCACCACCAAATAATCGATAACGTTTCGTCAGTTACCTACTCCTCTGTGCTAGAATCGGTTATCTTACCCTACTCTAAATAGCTTTTACACGGTGCGGTACGACGTCTCGGGAACCTATATTGATGCATTTCTGAGAGATAGTCCACCATAAAACATGAGGTAATTGCTGCTTCTATACGTGATAGGAGGACAAAATTAGCCTAAATCGCCTTTGACCGGTGTGAGACGACGATTTCTGACATTCTCAGGAACCTATGGTGAAGCGTTTCTTAACGGTCGTCCACCAAATTACTCGAGGTACCTACAGCCTCTATGCGAGAAAGCAGAATATACTGGAAGGTCTAAATCGCTTTTACACGGTCTGATACGACGATTTATGACGCTATTGGGAAACTATATTGATGTATTTCTGACAGATAGCCCACCTAAAACATGATGTAGCTACTGCTACTATACGTGATAGGAGGACCAAATGGATAGCCTAAATCGTCTTTGAACGGTGTGAGACGACGATTTGTAGCATTTTTGGAAAACTATCCTGAAGCGCTTCCAAACGATCGTCCACCAAAGTGCGGGAGGTACCTACTGCCTTCATGCGAGATAGGAGAATAAAATGGATGGCCGATGACGTCTTTGCAGGGTGTGATACAAATATTTATTTTATCTTCGGGAACCTACTTTTAAGTATTTCTGAGAGATAGACACCAAAGAAGATGAGGCAGCTAGTGCTTCTGTACGTGAAAGGAGGACCAAATGGATAGCATAGATCGTCTTTGAACGGTGTGAGGCCACAATTTGGAACATTTTTAGGAGCTTATCATGGAGCGTTTCTGAGCGATCGTCCTCCAAAGTACTCGCCATACCTACTGCCCCTATACGAGAAAGAGAATAAAATGGATGAATAATATCAATCTTAGAAGGTGTGATACAAGGACTTACGACATTTTCGGGAATCTATATTGAAGTATTTCTGATGAGATAGTCCACAAAAGACATGAGGTGGTTGCTTTTTCCATACGAGATATTAAGACTAAAAGGATAGCCTAAATCGCCTTTGAACGGTGTGAGACGACGATTTGTGACATTTTTAGGAACCTATCATGAAGCGTTTCTGAACGATCCTCCACCAAAGTACTGGAGGTACCTACTGCCTTTATGCGAGAAGGGAGAATAAAATGGACGGCCAAAGTCGTC